TTTATTTATTTATTTATTTATTTATTTATTTATTTATTTATTTATTTTTGAGACAGAGTCTCACTCTGTTGCCCAGGGTGGAATGCAGTGGCGTGATCTCGGCTCACTGCAACCTCTGCCTCCCAGGTTCAAGTGATTCTCCTGCCTCAGCGTCCTGAGTAGCTGGGATTATAGGTCTGTACCACCACGTCCAGCTAATTTTTGTATTTTTAATAGAGATGGGTTTTTACCATGTTAGCCAGGCTGATCTTGAACTCCTGACCTCAAGTGATTCATCCGCCTCGGCCTCCCAAAGTGCTGGGATTACAGGTGTAAGCCACTGCGCCCGGCCCTTTTTCTGACTTTTTAATGATGGCCGTTCTTGCAGGAGAAACGTGGTATCTCCCTGTGGTATTAACTTGCATTTCTTTGATGATCAGTGATGTTGAGCATTTTTTCATGTATTTGTTGGCCATTTGAATATCTCTTTTGAGAAATATTTATTCATGTCCTTTGCCCATTTTTTGATGGCATTATTTTTTTTCTTGCTGATTTGAGTTCCTTGTAGATTGTGGATACTTGTCTTTTTTCCGATGCATAGTTTGCAAATATTTTCTCTTATTCTGTGGTTGTCTGTTTGTTATTTCTTTTGCTGTGCAGAAGCTTTTTAGTTTAATTAGGTCCCATTGATGTATTTTTGTTTTTGCTGCATTTGCTTTTGGGGTCTTAGTCATGAATTCTCTGCTTGGGCTGATTGTTAGACGAATATATTTATTTATTTATTTATTTAGAGACAGAGTCTCGCTCTGTGGCCCAGGCTGGAGTGCAGTGACCGGATCTCAGCTCACTGCAAGCTCCGACTCCCGGGTTCACGCCATTCTCCTCTCTCAGCCTCCCGAGTAGCTGGGACTACAGGCGCCTGCCACCACGCCCGGCTAATATTTTGTATTTTTTAGTAGAGACGGGGTTTCACCGTGTTAGCCAGGATGGTCTCGATCTCCTGACCTCGTGATCCGCCCATCTCGGCCTCCCAAAGTGCTGGGATTACAGGCTTGAGCCACCGCGCCCGGCCAACGAATATTTATTGAGCACCAACCATATATGACAAACGATGTACTAGGTGCTGGGAATACAATGGAGAACTTACATGAATCACCAATCACACAAATCTCTTTTTATCTTTTTTTTTTTTTTTTTTGCCTTACTTGAGAATTTGGGTTTTTGAGTAAACGCCATTATTCCCTTTTTTTGTTTTAGCACACTTTTACGTCTCAAACACCTAACGCACTGCTGCCCTGAGCAACCCGGAGGGGCCGGTTCCTGCACTCCGGCCAACACAACCTAAACCCCAACACGCCGAGGACGAATAAAGGCCAACCAACTTCCGCCCACCCAGTACAAACGTCAACAGACATTTGTAGATGAGGTCTTGTCAAAATTCAGAGGTGTCCTACGTCTGCTTTCCCAATGAGACAGTTCCTTTTTGTTTGTCTCAGAGACTGGGAATTTTTTTTTTTTAAAGACTGTAGGCAGAAAAAACTCCCCAACTGGCTGTTGGGACAATCAAACGGGTCTAAGAAAATTCAGCCAATGAGAGTGCGAGAATGCCTCTGTGTTGGCCAATGAGAAGAGCGCGCCGTGCGCAGGGCCGCCCAATGGGGCGCAAGCGACGCGGTATTTGAATCCTGGAACAAGGCTACAGCGTCGAAGATCCCCAGCGCTGCGGGCCCGGAGAGCAGCCCTAACGGCGCCTCGTACGCTAGTGCCCTCCCTTTTCAGTCCGTGTCCCTCCCTGGGCCGGGCTGGCACTCTTGCTTTCCCCGTCCCTCATGGCGCTGCTCCGACGCCCGACGGTGAGTGTGTTCGGCGACCGCTCTCGGAGGCGAGTCCGTTGGCCCCACAGCTCCCCTGTCGCTTCTCTCATTTGCTCCGAGCTTCTCCGTCCCAACCTAGACTGCTTTTCTCTTCTCCGGAGCTCCCCGCTTCGCCCACGTCCCTGGCCCTGCGGCGGGTCGTCTCCTGCCGGCCTCTCCCCGTCTGGATTCCGCCCTCCCTGCCCCGGGGTGGGAGAAGTGTAGGAAAGCGCTTCCGAGATGGCATCTGTCAAGGGAGCCCCCAGAGCACTGGGCCTAGTACTCTGCGAGCGATCCCCGAGTGCTCTTCATTGCCAGAGAGTTATCTACTTACACGTTCCTGGGATTTCCCTCCCCCTTTCTTACAACTCCTTGCCAACTAAGGGATCTGTGGTGGGGGCTGGGAGGAGGACTGGAAGGGTTCTGTAGGCAGTAAAGTGTGCGTGTTTCATCAGGCAACTGCCAGGCTGTTTTTCTGATTGTTCACATTTCTTTTTGTATGACTTTACCATTTATTTCTGCACGCTAAGTCTTCCAGGCTACGTTCACTAATACATGGGTTTGTCCCCTTAAAAAATTTATTTACTCAAATGTAATAGAGATTTTTGAATATAGTTTAGACCAACGTGGCAGACTGAGAGAAAAGGGTCCAAATTCATTTATTTCATCCTTGCAGAGATCAAAGTGTTAACGGTGTTTTGGGTATTTTTCCTGTGGGCTTGAATTATGCCGGGACCTACTTTTTTCCTTTGCTGAAAGCGAGAGGGCCCTGACACACCTGAGTTCCATCATCTTGGCTATAAGGTTAGATAAAAGCTGCCAATTTTCCTTTCCAGATGAATTTAAATTTAGTTGCATTAGCTGGCTTCTACCCATAAGCATTACATTTTCAAACACTTTTTTCAGATTGGTAGTTGCTGCTGGAAAAAATTGAACAGCCTGACTTTTGAGAATCCTAATAGATTGAATATATTCAGCATTTAATTAATATCCTTTTGTGAATCTAAGTCCAACTGGCAAGGAATTTTTTATAATAATGTATTCTATAACGTTATTTAATAGTCAAAACCTTTCTGTTCAGGGAAGGCTTGAGTTTCCCTTGTCCCTCTATCCTGGTAGATCTACTCAGACCCCTTGTTGGGAGTTTTATTAGAGTCAGGACCCTGAACTCTGAGGGATAGGACATGCTGGTTTTTTGTTTTTTTCTTTTTTAATGAAATGTTTATCTCTTCTATAATAAGCTTTTTTTTGGTATGAATTGCTTTTCCTAGCAAGTTTTATTTCTAAGCACATTATGTCTAAAGCAGGTTAAAGTCAAGTGACAATTTTTATTTCATACAATTCCCACCTTCCCTGAGTTTGGGAGCTAAAACTGTATTATCCAAGGAAACTACTTCCATTCTAAATATCCTTAATATAAGAGAAAATCCATTTTATGGCAACCTCATTTTAAAAAGCTGTAGTTCTAAAAGATCATGCATACAGGAGCATTTCTTATTTGTAAAATGGCATAAGAATCAAAGCTAGTTTAGGTTTTAAACATCTGGTTTTTAAACAACCAGACCTATTATTAACTATTAATATTATAGCTTTATAATTTTTCATCTTAATTTACGTATTACCAAGCTCTGTAAAGGAAGGTTTTTAAGTATATGCCTTTAACTTGCAGGGATCTCTACCAAGTGATATAGGTACTATGATAAATAATCATTAAATAGTAATAAGCTTTGAAGTTCTCTTGCAGGCCCACTTGAATATTCAGAATAGTTTTGCAAGGTTAGTGGGAGGATCTTTATTATAGATAAAGTAGATGGGTGATTTGCCTAATTTAGAGTGATGTTATTAATCATGAATAGCCTTTTTTAAGACTTCCTGAAATGTACCTTTTCCATCTTGCAAATAGATCTTGACGTATTGTCCTTTCCCAAAGCAATTCTAAATTTGAGTATCTAACATTAGCAAAGTATTTCAAATTCTTTCAAGGTTTCATTACTTTTTTTTTTTTTTTTTTTCAGGTGTCCAGTGATTTGGAGAATATTGACACAGGATTTAATTCTAAAGTTAAGAGTCATGTGACTATTAGGCGAACTGTTTTAGAAGAAATTGGAAATAAAGTTACAACCAGAGCAGCACAAGTAGCTAAGGTAACAATTATGAAGACAGAATGTGAATACAGAGGCCGATTCTGTATAGTGCCGAGTCTCACAACACTGGCTGTCTTGCCCTATCATGTTTCTTTTTCCTTATAGAAAGCTCAGAACACCAAAGTACCAGTTCAACCCACCAAAACAACAAATGTCAACAAACAACTGAAACCTACTGCTTCTGTCAAACCAGTACAGATGGAAATGTTGGCCCCAAAGGTAGGAAGTTCTGAATTTACAAACATATTTAATGAGGTAGCCTGTTTTTAGCCAGACTACAAGGGTGCCTTTATCATTGCTGCACCTTTTAACGAACATTCATAGCTAGAACTCTCCTTTGAAGCAACAGTGTAGGAAATGAGTATATACACCTTTTAAATGATGGTACTTAATTTAACATTATGACCTTGAAGCTGGGCATGGTGGCTTATGCCTGTAATCTCAGCACTTTGAGAGGCTGAGGCAGGAGGGTCACCTGAGGCCAGGAGTTCAAGGCTGCAAGGAGCTATAATTGTGCCACTGCACTCTAACCTGGACAACGGAACAAGACCTTGTCTCTGAAAAAAAAAACCAAAAAACTACGACCCTCAGTAATAAAGTTAATTACCTTAATAACCAAATAAACGATGGAGTGGTTGGGAAAATTCATGGAATGAGTGAGATTTTTAGAGAGAAGCTGATAGGAAAGGGCACCTTTTTGGAGAGCAAAGTAGCAACAAAGATCAAGGTACCAAAGCGGAAATGGACCTATAAGCATGTCCTTTGGTTAAGGAGTCTGAAATACTTAACGGAGTCAGGCGGCTTGTGTGAGGAACCAGAAGATAAGGCTGGGAAGAAGGTTGCAGTTGGATTTGAAGGTCTTGGGGATTTGAATTTTTATCCCATTAGGCTTGAGGAAACAGAGTTTTGGGGAGTAGAGAAATGATGAAAACAATGTAGGGAGGTAAGTTAGGAGGTATTGCACTTGTCCAAGCAAGAGCTGATGACCTCGAGCTAGCCCAGATCTTCCCTAAGCGCCTGCCCATACACTAGTATCAATACTGGGTATGAAGAAACAACATCAAATGTGTTAGGATGTCTCAGAACATCTTTCAGGGCCATCATCTTGTATTTAGGAAAGAATACTTTGGACACATGGCTTGCACGCAGGAGTGGTGTTCTTAACCACTTGGATATTAAATAAACCATTTGTGCAGTAAATGAACAAAAAGTAGGAAAGTCAGGAGAGGGCGGTAGCTTTGGTAAAGGTATCCTGTTTGGCTTCCGATTTGTTGAGGTAACAGAGGGACATCTGCCTGGAAATGCAGTTGGAAATGTGGCAGCAACATCTGAAGGCAAGGAATGGATTTGTCAGCTTTCTCCACAGAGATGATGGTTGAAAGCATGTTGCTCTTTATGAGAACTAAAGCTTAGAACAAATAGTTGAGATGGGACTTCCTTTAAGAAGCCTTCCCTTGAAGATTTCTATAATAGTGACCTCCTGAAAGTCAAACCCAAAGGCTGGTATTCAGACCTTGATGTCTTAGCAGTTGTGTAGTGTTTTGCATTTGTAAGGGTTTGAATGTGGTTCCTCCCACATCGCAGGAGGGCGATTTGGCAGTATATATATATTTTTCAGGGGGACAGAGTCTTGCTCTGTCGCCCAGGCTGCAGTGCAGTGGCTTAATGTCTGCTCACTGCAACCTTTGCCTCCCGGTTTCAAGCGGTTCTCCTGTCTCAGCCTCCCGAGTAGCTGGGATTACAGGTGCATGCCATCACGCCTGGCTAATTTTTTGTATTTTTTAGTAAAACGGCGTTTCACCATGTTGGCCAGGCTGGTCTCGAACTCCTGACCTCAGGTGATCCACCTGCTTCCGCCTCCCAAAGTGCTGGGATTACAGGCGTGAGCCACTGCGCCTGGCGGTAATATATTTCAAATGGTTATTCTCTGTACCCCGTAGGTCTGTTTTTAATCCAAAGAAAATGATCAGAGGGATAATCAAGTACTTTTAAATAGTGCTGTGATGAATGTCTCTTATAGAGTAGAGAAGTTCTAGTTAAATCCGTTTAAGGAAATACTATGCAGCCATGAATATGATGTTTTAGTAGAATATTTAAAGGCATCAAAATGCTTGTAACATTAAGTGGAAAAATCAGATTATAACAATATATAAACAGTGCAACCCCAGATTTCCTTTCAAAATGTACATTTGTATGCAGAATATTGAATGGTAGTTATTTTTGAGTATTATGTTGGACTTAAGATTGACTTGCATTTTCTTCCTTAAAAGTTCAGACTTTTATCATGGGTACCTATTACTGTTCAAGTTAGAGAAGAAGAAAAGAAGACTTTTTTTTTTTTTTTTTTTTTTTTAAAGCAAAGAGCTCAAATATGAAAGAAACAAAGAGAAAAATAGTTTCCTCCTGTGACTTCCATAACTTCACCCTTTTTGCGTTTCCTTTAATCCTTGGCTGACTCCTTTTTCTCTTGCTTCATGGCAAAATTGAGGCGACTGTTTGTTTGAGATAAAGCATTATGGACCTGTAGCTCAGTTCATATAAAAATCAGTTCCAGGATTGAAACATACAGCTACATGTTCTAGATTTAGAAGTTATCAGGAATTAATGAACAACAGTTATTTCCAATTCAAATACATTTCCCTCTGAGAAACACAGTAGTGAAGGAATCTCTAAGTCCATGATTTAGGTAGAGCCACACCTTCTGGCAGGTGAGTCCCTCTGCCTGCCTGTCTCTGGTCAGCTCTCTGGCTTTTACTTTGTCACCTGCTCTGTCTGCAGGGTTATCACTGTTCTTTAGAGCCAATCCCTGGAGGTGTGGAAATACCACTTGAGCGCACAGGTTTCTAGCAATTTTCCTGGAAAGATGATAACATAAGCCATGTGTCCATGATAGGAGATGTTCCCTGTCTTCTAACCAAATTTATACTATCCTTTCTGCAAAACTGGAGGGCAGGTTTCTCTCTTTGTGGCAGTTGACACAACTGAATCACAAAGTGAGACCTTGGAAGAGTTCCAGCCCTTTACAGGTAGTCATAGAAGCTTATTATCCTGCAGGTTTTGAAGAAAATGGTGTTTTTTGCTGATTAATGAGGCTTTGGTAAACACAGTAGTTTGAAAGGACAACGAAGGCTTTTTACTAGTCCCATGTTTGCTGGACACTGGGGAAACAAGTTGAATAAACCATTGACTCTGTCCAGAGGAGCTCCCAGTCAAGTTGGAGAACATAGGAGTAAAAGCATGGCTTTATCTGTCACAGAGAGAGATGCACGCTTATGAGAGGTATACTGAGGAGTCATAGCTAGAACAGATTACCTGACCAGACGAGTAGGATCTTATAAAGGGTCTTACAATAATTAAATTATGTTGGAGTTCACAATGAATGCTTTAAGTAATTCTAAAGTAAGGGCCAGGGCAAGAATCTGTCTTAACCTAGTGACTTTTGTTGTTGATTGCTTGATTGATGGACGAGATCTCACTATGTTGCCCAGGTTCGACTCAAACTCCTACACACAAGCAGTCCTCCTACCTCAGGCTCCCAAAGTGCTGGGATCACAGATGTGAGCCACCACACCCAGCCCCTGGTGGCTTTTGGATATGGCTAAACTCAGTTGCACTTTTGAATAGGAGCCAGAAAAACATTCTAAACTGCTGTGATAGCACATGATAACCTCTGACTCCTTAAAGCAGACTTTTTGGTATTGACTGCCCTTCCAGGGGTGGGTGATAATGCTTATCCTTGAAAAAGCTAACCTTCAACTGAAGCTGCATATACTTATTACAATGCAAATCTGATTCCAGTCACTTGCTAAACTCCTTCAGTTGTTGCACCTTACCTTTGGATAAAATCTAAACTTCTTAGCCCAGCTCTTGTTCTGCTTTTCAGCTCATCTTCTCACACCTCACAGGCTATCCTGCTGACATCTCAAATCAATTTGCACTTCCCTGAATTGCCTTGATTTTCTTTGGTTTCCTTTTGCCTGTTCATCTTCCTTAAGGTCTTACCGTCTCTGGTACCCTGGGTACCTCTACTCATTTGTCCTAGCTCCTTGAGGTTTCCAGGTTTCCAAATTCTATTCTATTCTATGCTATTCTTTTCTTTCCTTTCCTTTCTTTTCTTTTCTTTTTTTTTTTTTTTTTTTTAGACAGAGTCACACTCTGTCTCCTGGCTGGAGTGCAGTGGCATTATCACGGCTCACTGCAGCTTCGATCTCCTGGGCTCAGGTGATTCTCCCACTTCAGCCTCCAAGTAGCTGGGACAACAAGTGTGCGCCAACATGCCTGGCTAATTTTTGTATTTTTTGTAGAGGCTAGGTTTTGCCATGTTTCCCAAGCTGGCCTCGAACTTCTGAGCTGAAGCAATCCACCTGCTTCAGCCTTCTAAAATGCTGGGATTACAGGTGTTAGCCACCGCACTTGGCCTGGGTTCTCAAATTCTTGAATAAATGGCATGCATGCCTGCATAGCTCTTGCTCACCTGGTCCTTCCTCAGTTTAAGACCTTTGATTTAAGAGGGGAGGACATGTTTTAAACTGCTCTCTGTTGTTGTTGTTGTATCCTCTAAGACTGGAAATTATAATCATTGAGCTTTACTGTAAATTAAAATTATTCTATCATAAAGCCCTCCTTTTTTTTTTTTTTTTGAGACAGAGTCTCGCTCTGTTGCCCAGGCTGGAGTGCAGTGGCACAATCTCAGCTCACTGCAACCCCTGCCTCCCGGGTTCAAGTGATTCTCCTGCCTCAGCTTCCTGAGTAGCTGGGTTTACAGGCGCGCGCCACCACAGGCCCAGCTAATTTTTGTATTTTTAGTAGAGACGGGACTTCACCATGTTGGTCAGGCTGATCTCAAACTTCTGACCACGCCTGGCCACCTCCTCTTTTTAAAAAATATTTTATTACCTTAATATATATTTGTATAGCTTAGCATCTTGTTAGGTTTTACTTGGAGAAGGACTTCTTTTTGAAAGCAATGATTTGGCCGGGTGCGGTGGCTCATGCCTGTAATCCCAGCACTTTGGGAGGCCAAGGCGGGCAGATCATGAGGTCAGGAGATCGAGACCATCCTGGCTAACATGGTGAAAGCCCGTCTCTACTAAAAATATAAAAAATTAGCCAGGCATGGTGGCAGGGGCCTGTAGTCCCAGCTACTCTGGAAGCTGTGGCAAGAGAATGGCGTGAACCCAGGAGGCGGAACTTGCAGTGAGCTGAGATCACGCCACTGCACTCCAGCCTGGGGGACAGAGTGAGACTCCATCTCAAAATAAATAAATAAATAAAAATTTAAAAAGCAATGATTTATTTATATTTCATTAATAAATGCTTGTTTTAACTACTTTATACATTTTTAATTTGTGTAATTTTTATAAATAATTACCCAGTCAGCTAGGAGAGTAAAATACTGAGTTGTATACTTGCTCAGTCTTCGCTCCCTTCTCCTATTTTATTTATAGACTGGAATATGTTTTTCTCCCTTTTAGTTGCCAGTTTTTCAATTTAGAATAAATTAGTTGAAGAGAAGAAAACATTATACTGCAGAAGAGGCTGCTACTAAAGTAGAATGATCAGCTCCAATAATCTTTGAACCCAGGTGGTCAAGTTTCTTTCATTTATTGAGCACCTACTACGTATCAGGGATTATATAGATGTTTGAGGTACCTTAGTGGGCAAAACCAAATAATAAACGTAAGCTTTTAGAGCTTACATTCTGGCAGAGGTAGACAGAAAATAATACACATACTATATAAACTATAGAATTTTAGAAGTTTAGGTTTTATGAGAAAAAACAGAGATGAGACATATGGGTAGGGTGGGAGGACAGGGATTGGAGACAGGTGATAATTTTGTTTTTTGTTTGTTTATTTGGTTGGTTTTGAGGTGGAATCTTGCTTCGTCCAGCCCAGGCTGGAGTGCAGTGGCATGATCTTGGCTCATTGCAACCTCTGCCTCCCAGGTTCAAGCTATTCTCCTGCCTCAGCCTCCTGAGTAGCTGGGACTACAGGGGGGCACCATCACACCCAGCTAATTTTTGTATTTTTAAAGTAGAGACGGGGTTTTGCCATGTTGACCAGGCTGGTCTTGAACTCCTGGGCTCAAGCCATCCACCTGCCTTGGCATGAGCCACTGTGCCTGGCCAGATAATTTTAAATAGGAGTCAGGATAGACCCCATTGAGAATGTAACATTTAAGCAAAACTTGAAGAAAGTAAGGGAATTACCCATATGGACATAGGGGCAAGAGCATTCTGGGTAAGAAGAACCTGGTTTGAGTGAAGCAGTCAGGGGAGAGAAGCAGGAGATGGGTCAGCGAGGGAAGTGGGGAGGGCCAGATTATATAAGGTCTATAGGCCATTGAGAGGACTTAAATTTTCAGTTTGAGTGAAATTAGTTTTAAACAGATAAGTGTCTCTTGAAGAACTTCACATACGATATCTTGAATTATTCACCTCTTGGTATGAAATTTGTTTTGTCTTCAACATATTTCAAATGTGCTTATGATATTGATATTTAAGCCAGTTGGCTCTGCATGTATTTGTGGTTAAGGCTTCTCCTACATGTGCCTTAATTTGTTGGTGTAGGGTCCTTCTCCCACACCTGAGGATGTCTCCATGAAGGAAGAGAATCTCTGCCAAGCTTTTTCTGATGCCTTGCTCTGCAAAATCGAGGACATTGATAATGAAGATTGGGAGAACCCTCAGCTCTGCAGTGACTACGTTAAGGATATCTATCAGTATCTCAGGCAGCTGGAGGTGGGTGGGTCTTTGTGTTTTGGTTGTATAAGCAATGTGGAATTTATCACACAGCTGGGAAGGAAACAAGGTCAGCTTTTTAAACTTTTGATTCTACCCACAGGTTTTGCAGTCCATAAACCCACATTTCTTAGATGGAAGAGATATAAATGGACGCATGCGTGCCATCCTGGTGGACTGGCTGGTGCAGGTCCACTCCAAGTTTAGGCTTCTGCAGGAGACTCTGTACATGTGTGTTGCCATTATGGATCGATTTTTACAGGTAGGTGTGGCTTCAGGGACTTCACGCCAGTGGCTCATTGAACATTGCATTTATGCTTGGGAGATAGAAAACTAAAGTGGGTACTTCTGAAAAAAAGACCAAAAATCAAATTGTGAGAAGCCAAAGAACTTTAGGGACTAAAAAGGGAAGTAATCCAAATGTGTCAAGCCTTTGATGATGCTGACCAATATTGGGCATTTCTGTAAGACCAGTCAGCTAAAAAGCACTTGGGGGAAATATTGCATTGCCACAATCCTTCATCAGAGGAATATACCATCAGTTGGGCTGGAAGTCCATCTGAAGCCTGTAGTGCCTTTGGATGCTGGTTTTCTGGGCCTGCTTGCACAATTTCCATAGTTTGGTGCTCTTTGGTGTTAAGTTTTAAGTTTCCTCATCTGAAAAATGATGAGTTTGGCTAGGGAACCTCCACATTTCCAGCCAACTATGGCATTGAATCACTGTAGAAGAAGAAGGTGGAAGAAGAAGGTGTTTTTCTTAAAGGAGCAGGGGTGTGTGTGGAGTGGACTGAGAATGTAGTGTAATAAAGAGTAATATAAGAAAATGAGAGGCAAAAATAATCTTCAGCATATTTATCAGTGAGTAATGCACAGCCCCTACCCTGTTAGAAGAGAAAGCAGATATAAATCGCCATTGTGTTATCTACCAAACAATAGCCCTGCAGATAAGGATTTATTTATTTAAAGTCAACATTCAGGATAGGGGTTTAGGTCAGGCACAAATTCTGTCCAAACAATGTAATAAAAATTACTTTACAATAATGGCCCTGAGATACTACAAAATCCCAGGTAGTATGCATTCCTCTTTGGGCAGGAAAGCACAACAATATTTTAGGTAGGTTTCTTTATTTTTTATTTTTTTGAGGCAGGGTTTTATTCTGTCGTTGCCCACGCTGGAGTGCAGTGACACAATCTGGGCTCACTGTAGCCTCAACTTCCTGGGCTCAATCAATCCTTCTGCCTCAGCTTCCTAAGAAGCTGTGATTATAGGCGTATGCTACCACACCCAGCTAAGTTTTTGATTTTTTATAGAGATGGGGTTTTGCCATGTTGCCCAGGCTGGTCTCAAACTCCTTAGCTCAAGTGATCCGCCCACCTCGGCCTCCCAAAGTGTTGGGATTATAGGCATGAGCCACTGTGTCCAGCCATGGTAGATTTTTAATAATGAGAGTTGAAGCAAGAAAAGCACAGAGTCCCAGTTTGGGAGGGGGAAAAAAAAAGCAATTAAGGGAAACACTTTTACCTAGCCTGAGAGTCTCCCTGACTCCAAAGCATTAGTGAAAGATTTTCTAAGCTGAATAATGGGTGTGCTTTTGGTAAGGATTAAGGAAATTAGCCATCCATTAAATTCTCACTTTTTTTCTTTGGCCTCATCTCTATTCCGACCATGCTTAGTGTGTCCGGTCAGGGCTGCCACAGATACTCAAGTCAGCATGAAGTGGGAAGAGTGACTAGGAGCTTGGTATTCAGGCTTGGATTCTTCCCTTCTTGGCAACTGAATGATCTTGGCATGGTGTCTGAATCTGTTCTCAGGACATCTATTTGTAATTGAGGAATAAAATATGTCCTTCCTAGGATTTTTATGAGGATTAGATGAGACAGTATGTTAGAATCTTAGCACTGTGCCTAGCACACAGTACTTAATTACAGATAGCTGTCATGATCAGTGGTGGAACAGTCAGGTCTCCTGTGCCCTTATGAGGGCCATGAGCAAAGACAATGTGCACGTTTCCAGGACTGGGTTCCCTTTCCTCTTCTCCCACCCAAAGCTTCGCTCTTCTTGTTAGGTGTGACTTTTGATACATTAATTTTCCATTAGGTTCAGCCAGTTTCCCGGAAGAAGCTTCAATTAGTTGGGATTACTGCTCTGCTCTTGGCTTCCAAGTATGAGGAGATGTTTTCTCCAAATATTGAAGACTTTGTTTACATCACAGACAACGCTTATACCAGTTCCCAAATCCGAGAAATGGAAACTCTAATTTTGAAAGAATTGAAATTTGAGTTGGGTCGACCATTGCCACTACACTTCTTAAGGCGAGCATCCAAAGCCGGGGAAGTAAGTGCCTCCAACTCTGTAAGAGGCTGTTTTTGCTTGGTGTCTCATCCTAGAAACCTTCATCTAATTAAAGGAAAGCTTATTAATTTATAGGATGCATCCTTTAGATAAGTCTTAATGCTTACCTCATCAGTTCTTAAGAGAAAGGCCTCATGATCTATGTTTACAACATAGTGTGGGATAGAGTAATTCTTCAGAAGGATAAGTGAGTTAAGTGAATTGGAGTTCCTAGGCTTCATGCAGACTTTTGCAAGATAGTAATTACAGTTGTGATTCTTACTGTCCGTTGCTGTTGTTTCTTAGGTTGATGTTGAACAGCACACTTTAGCCAAATATTTGATGGAGCTGACTCTCATCGACTATGATATGGTGCATTATCATCCTTCTAAAGTAGCAGCAGCTGCTTCCTGTTTGTCTCAGAAGCTTCTAGGACAAGGAAAATGGGTGAGTGGTGGATTTAAGAAGAAATTAATTAGGCTATATTTTAGTCCCTCATAATATGAAAGGCCTTAGCATTTTTACAACACTGTCATTGAAGCAATTGGTTTTGTTTTGTTGTTGACACAGGGTCTCAGTCTGTCGTGTGGGCTGGAGTGTGGTGGTGCCATCACAGCCCACTGCAGCCTTGACCTCCCAGGCTCAAGTGATCCTCCTACCACAGCCTCCCGAGTAACAGGGACTACAGGCATGCATGACCATGCCTCGCTAATTTTTGTAATTTTTTTGTAGAGACAGGGTTTTGTCATGCTGCCTAGGGTAGCCTTGAACTCGGCTCAAACAGTCTACCCACCTTAGCCTCCCAAAGTGCTAGGATTTCAGGTATGAGCCACTGTGCCTAGCCTGAAGCAACTGTTTAAAGTTCAAAGGCCTAAAGGAAAGCTGCTTGGAGAGGGGCGTAGGGGCTTGTGCTTATAGTTCTAGCTACTTGGGAGGCTGAAGGAGGAGGATCATTTGAACTCAGGCTCAGTTCAAGTCTAGCCTGGGGAACACAGAGAGACCCCTGTCTCTTGGGAAAGAAAGCAAGCAAGCTACTTGGAACAGTTCAAATAGAAGTGAGTTGACTATATATACCAGGGTGCATGTATGCATTATAGAGTTGTACAGAATGAGGAAGGCCACTAAGAACTGATATGTATAATTTCTTAGATATTATGTTAAGTGAAAAAGTTGTCAAGCACACAAGACAAAGGAAGGCCAAGGCCTGACTGATTTAGCCAGTAAGAATAGAATGAGCCACTTGTAGATTCAGAAGAGTAGCCAAGGTTGGCAGCTCCCTGGGTCTTTGTTTCACATGGCCAAAAGGATAATGTGGAAACAAATGGAGCTGGATGGCTGCAGTGCAAGCGACAGGTACACTGCTGTGGAGAAGCCAGTTGTAGACCACTGCTAAGCAGTCTTCTAGTCTGCAGGTATACCCTGAAAGCAGCACAGCAGAAAACTTCATCAGAACCTAGGGGATAAGAAGCTGTCTTGGCCGGGTGTCATGCCTGTAATCGCAGCACTTTGGGAGGCCAAGGTGGGCAGATCATCTGAGGTCAGGAGTTTGAGACCAGCCTGGCCAACATGGCAAAACCCCCGTCTCTACTAAAAATACAAAAATTAGCCAGGCATGGTGGCAGGTGCCTGTAATCCAAGCTACTCGGGAGGCCTAGGCATAAGAATCACTTGAACCCAGGAGACAAAAGTTGCATTCAGCCGAGATCGTGCCAGTGCACTCTAGCCTGGGGGATAGGGCGAGACTCTGTCTCCAAAAAAAAAAAAAAAAAATAGAAGAAACTGTCTGGTGACAGCCTCCCAGAGGAGATAGGGAGGTGAATGGGAGATGGCTGGGCCACAGCTCTGCCCACACCTGCCATCCCCTCCTTTTTCCAGGAGGATCACAAAGCATTTTGCCAGGACCAATCAGCTGTGGTTCAGGCCTTGGCCTGTCCTATATGGATATAGGCAAGGTCACCAGGGCAACATGGTGGAGCTGTTCACCTAAACAATGTATATTGTAGTTTACATTTTATGCAAGAAAGTGTGTGTGTCTGTATGTATATATATTTATATATTTGTTTAATTTTTTGGTACAGGAGGAATAAACCAGAAAGAATGAAAGTGGATACTATGGGGTTCTGTGGAACAGGGTGGAGGTTGAGGATGAGAGGGCTTCTGATTGTAACCTTTTATTGACTTTTTTGATTTTTGAACAATGTAAATATTTTATGCAAACTTTAAATTGTAATTAAGTGGAAATAAACAATGTAACCACATGTGAAACTGGTAACAGAACACAGAGGAAAGAATTAATTTAAGTACTTGTTGCTTGAGCCCAGGAGTTCGAGCCCAACCTGGGTAGCATAGCAAGACCCCCATCTCTACAAAAAATTTAAAAATTAGCTGAGTATGGTGGTGCACACCTGTAGTCCTAGTTACTCAGGAGGCTGAGGCAGGAGGATTGCTTGAGCCCGGGAGTTCAAGGCTGAAGTAGCTATGATCATGCCACTGCACTCCAACCTGGGCAACAGAGCAAAACCCTGTCTCAAAAAAAGAAAAAAAAAAAAATCTATAACCTGAACACAGCATTCTGACTGAGCATCCTTAGTGGGATTTAAAGTATGACAAAACAAAGGACTAAAGTGGTAACATCAAGTTTACTTAGTAGGTTCATTGTTAATCTGTTGTTAAAATTCTGGAAGTATTTTATGTGTATTGTAGGATAAAACAAATTTATTCATGTTATTAAGGACTAAAATTTTCACTATAGGAAGAGTTTTTTTTATTATTAATTAGTTAATTTTTTATACAGGGTCTTGCTTTGTCATCCAGGCTGGAGTATAGTGCTGCTACTAAAGCTCACTGCAGCCTCAATTGCCTGGGCTCAAGTGATCCTCCCACTTCAGCCTCCTGAGTAGCTGGGACCCAGCCACACGCCATCATGCCTGGCTAATTTTAAAGTTTTTTCTAGAGATTGGCTCTCCCTATGTTGCCCAGGCTGGTCTCGAACTCTTGGGCTCAAGTGATCTTCTCACCTTGGCCTCCCAAAGTGCTGGGATTATAGACGTGAGTCACTGTGCCTGGCCTAAGAGAGAAAATATTAACAATTAAAAACTAAAGGTTAGTCCTCATGTAGGAAATAGCAAAACAAAAACAAAGGAAAACCCCTATTATGTTTTGAAAATAACGGCAAATTCAGAATAAAGGGTCTCAGAAACAGTGACAACTCAGTAGTAGTGAGCGTATTTAGTGCCCACATCTTGGATACTAAATACCATCATCTACTGTCAACTAGGGTTCATTAGTGAAATTGCTGATTTAAGGGCTATTGCAGGGGAAGTACAAGGTAAGCCTAGAAAAATTTGTGCCAGATAGCACACAAATTTTCAAAGATCAATGAGGTCACACCAAAGGACATAGGAGAGCTGGTCATGGCAGCATGTGCCTATAGTCCCAGCTACTCAGGAGGCTGAGGCAGGAGCATCCCTTTAGTCCAGGAGTCTGAGGCTGCAGTGGCCTATGATTGCACCACAATAAAATAGGAAGGGAAGGAGGGACATAGGAATGGGCTTGAAAGGGCTCTGGCTGACTGAATTAGAGCATTAAAAAGAATAATGATAGTAATAGATTGTAGTGTATAAAAAAAAGGATTCATGGGTCCATAATGATACAAAAAATAAAACAGGGGTTCATTTTTAAAAATCAGAATACCAGCTAATTAAAGTAGAATGGTAGAGTTAGAAACCACTAATTTTCAACCTGTAATGTAATAATTTATTCAAGCAAGGTGCATCAATGAATGCAAAAATCACTACATGGAATAATTTTGGGAAACAAGATTCACATGGTCTCAAATTATCATCCCATAGATACTTGTTAATTCTGTAGCAAAACTGCACATCTATGATGAAGTGGTCTGGTGGTTTCCACCTTCACCCAGTGATTAAGCTCAGCATTGCCATTGGCAGACAACCTGAGTTGCTGTGCCATGTTGTGCAGTAAGATGTATACATGATCACCTATTCATGCCCAAAACGTTTGACATGAATTAAATCATGAGGAAATGTGCAAATCCAGAATGTGAGACATTTTAAAAGGAACTGCCTGGATGCTTAAAAAAAGTCACTGGTGACAGTGTTTCTTATGTGAGAATGGTGTTATGGATAGGTACAAAAATGTACTTTTTAGAATATGCTTCTGAAATGTTTAGCAGGGATGTGCTGTGATATCTGCAAATTGCTTTCAAATGGCATAGCAAAAATTGTGTGTGAGTATACATATATAGAGAGAGGGAGAGGAGGAAAATGTGGTGCATGTTCATGATTGATCAGTCTACATGAAGGATATCTAGAGGGTCATTCTTTCAGTTTTTCTGTAGATTTGGAATTTTTTAAAAATAAAACATTTGAGGCAAAAATGCCACTGATACATGGTACCAATGGCTCATTTTTAGTCACCTTACTCTTAAATGTGCTTTGCTGTCCCAGTTTTCTGAGAATTGATTTCAAAATTCTAGAAATTGTGCATTATTTCAGTTTTTACTCTTGCTTCCTCTTTTTTCCCTTCAAAGTATTTTAGGATTAAGATTAAATTGTGTACACTGGGCAGTGGCTCATGCCTGTAATCCCAGCACTTTGGGAGGCTGAGGCAGGTGGATGACTTAAGGCCAGGACTTTGAGACCAGCCTAGCCAACATGGTGAAACTCTGTCTCTACTAAAAATACAAACTAAACTAAAAATACAAAAATTAGCTGGGTGTGGTGGCACATGCCTGTAGTCTCAGCTACTTGGAAGGCTGAGACACAAGAATTATCTAAACCCGGAAGGTAGAGGTTGCAGTGAGCCGAGATTGCGCCACTGCACTCCAGCCTGGGTGACAGAACCCAGGCATGGTGGCGCACGCCTATAGTTTCAGCTACTAGGGAGATTGAGGTAGGAGGATCACTTAAGCCCAGGATATCAAGGCTGCAGTGAGTTCTGATAGTGCCACTGCACTCCAGCCTGGGCAACAGAGTTGAGACCCGGTCTTCAAAGAAAAAGATTAAATTGTGGTTTAATTTGCCAATTATACCATGCATATGAAAAAAATGTAATTTTGCTTTTAGAATTTTTGTCACAGAATTCTTAAAGTCAGTTGACATACCTTTTTTTTTTTTTTTTGAGAGGGAGTCTTTCTCTGTTCCCCAGGCTGAAGTGCAGTGGTGCGATCTTGGTTCACTGCAGCCTCTGCCTCCTGGGTTCTAGCAATTCTGCCTCAGCCTCCTGGGTAGCTGGGATTACAGGCATGTGCCACCACGCCTGGCTGATTTTTGTATTTTTAGTAGAGACGGGGTTTCACCATGTTGGTCAGGCTGGCCTCGAACTCCTGACCTCAGGTGATCCGCCCAAAGTGTTGGGATTACAGGCGTGAGCCACCGTGCCTAATCTTTTTTTCCTTTTTTTTTTTTTTTTTAAAAGACATGGGCTCACTCTGTTGCCCAGGCTGGAGTGCAGTGGCCTTAATAGCTCATTACACCTCAAACTTCTGGGCTCAAGCAATCCTTCCTTCTCAGCTCCTCAAGTAACTGGGACTACAGGTGGACACCACCATCCTTGGCTAATTTTTTCATTTTTCATAGATACAGGGTCTCCCAATGTTACACAAACTGGTCTGAAATTCTTAAACTCAAGCAATCTTCTTGCCTTGGCCTCCGAAAGTGCTGGAATTGTAGACATGAGCCACTGGGCCCCGCCAATTTATGTATCTTCTTACATGATAAATCCTACTATCAATGGACAGCTGTTCTTTTGCTTGTATTTTGCTCTTTGGGAGGCTAGGTCACAAGACTTCTTATGGTGTTGTCTGAGTTCTCTCTGTTCTCTGGTGCTTAATTACACAGGGTTCAACAAGAGAATTGTAGGTAGTCCTACCTAGTTCTTCTGGATTTGATGGATTGGTGCTTTTTTAGCACAGTTTATTTCTTATTTCTGAATATCTTTCCCTGACTGACAGTATGTCTGTTTGGGTTCTTGAGCTCATAACAGAGACAGCTGGGGAGGGCTTTGACGCAGGGTTGTGTGAGATGTGGCCAGCACTGTAAAGGGACACTTTGTTTTAAGTGTCTCCTTTTTCATCCCCTTTCAGTGTTGTCACTTGAAGGACTCCTACCGGTGCAACCTCTTTAAAAGATCCTATGGGACCTTTGGCACTTGATTTAGCTAAGAGCTTCACAATGTCTTCATTTAGTCTGGTCTCAGGGCCAGAATCATCTTGCATTTACCAGCTGCTTTAGTGTTGCTGGTACTGTGGGAGTGCTTAGGACTTTGATTGAATTTCCAGAAGGTAAGAATATTTTTGTACGGCTTTTACATAAGTAATGTCATCATGTATGAGATGTGTTCTTCTAAAGAAGCAGAAGTTTTCTCTTTCCCCTCAGTCATGTGTGTCTGCTTCTTGTGTTTCAGAACTTAAAGCAGCAGTATTACACAGGATACACAGAGAATGAAGTTTTGGAAGTCATGCAGCACATGGCCAAGAATGTGGTGAAAGTAAACGAAAACTTAACTAAATTCATCGTAAGTACTATTGTTTCTTAAGCTGTGGAATGCTTTAGGTTCTGGGTTTTGTGTATATGTGGGGTGTGTGTGTGTGTGCTGTCATGTAAATATATTAATAACGTGAGAGTTTTAGCACAAATCCTTTATCCTTTATATTTTTCTGATATAGTATGGTGTGGAGCATACGGATAAACTCTGAGAGCAAACTTTCTTTGAAACAAAGTCGATAGGCTAGCCATGTCTAGGCCCAGTTCCTAGTCAGCCAGCCAGTTACTCAATGTGTTGAATTACTCTGTGCTCATACCAGTGTCCTGGGGAGGGCACTTTGCAAGCAGAGAAGGCTGCTCTGCATGGGATTGGGAAGAGAGAGGGCCCACTTCAAATGGCAGTGTGGAAGTAGGATTCAGGTGATGTTACTCAGAGCCTTTGTCCAGGATCTTTTGAGGCAATGATGGAAAAACACCTAATTAGCAAGCATGGTTAAGAGGGAAGACACCTATTCAGGGGGCATCCTGAGGGCGTGGTGTCTATCTCTGCATGGCCCACCTATGAGGAGGAACCAGAGGAGACTTAGTGCTGTCCTTGTGTGACACCAAACAGAGCTCACCAAGTGTGTTGTGGCAAAGAGCAAGGCATTTGAACGTCAGAAGAGTCTCAAGTGTCCTCACAACATGATTTGCTTCATGGTAGCGTACTGTGTGTTCAGTCCTGAGAGGACTGTCTGGGATTTGTTAAGTGCGAGTTGCCACCCTCTTTGATTGTCGGCTGTTGCTGCCAGGTCTGGTGAACCTGTTATGTCTGATGGCACTTAGGTGTCATAAACACAGCTCCCCCTCCCATCCCTCTGGTAGCCTATGAGAGGAAGCCTACTACTTGGACCTTGAAATCATTTGTTCTGATCGCCTGTGCTACCAGCTGGGTTTTATTCATTAATGGGGATGGAAGGAAATGGTCAGGCACATGTGATGAGCCCAGAGCTTTCACTGGCTTCAGCAATTGGGCATCGTCATTGTGATGGTGATTGTGGCCCGGACCTTTGAAAGTTGTGAATTAGACTAGGAATAAGGTACCAGTAGGGGTTCCTGACATGTGCTTAATCACAAATTCTGCAGGCCATCAAGAATAAGTATGCAAGCAGCAAACTCCTGAAGATCAGCACGATCCCTCAGCTGAACTCAAAAGCCGTCAAAGATCTTGCCTCCCCACTGATGGGAAGGTCCTAGGCTGCCATCGCCCCTGGGGATGTGTGCTTCATTGTACCCTTTTTCTTACTGGTTTAGAACTCTTGATTTTGTACATAGTCCTCTGGTCTATCTTATGAAACCTCTTCTCAGACCAATTTTCTAAATATATATTGAGGAAAAATAAAGCGATTGGTTTTTCTTAAGGTATCCCATGTGTATTTATTTGCGTATTCTGTACTGAAGAAATCAGTGAAAGCTTGCTTTGACTAATTTCTTTTTAAGCTATTATGAATAGCATGTAAATTATTGCCATTATGGCTTGGGCAAGACCTTTCTACCATTTTCTCAAACGGAAAAACTAGAACTTGGCCTCAGTGAACACTAAACCTATTCCTAAGCTTCTTGAATACAAATAAGTCTATTATGAAAATTTAAAATGGAAAGATAACCATGACACTTTCCTTTCTAGAAGCTAGTCAGCTGCTCTCTCATTCCTGCATTGGAACGCCTGGCCCAGAGCAACCCTTGTAATGGGTCCCTCTCTCAAAGGCATGGTTGAGACCAGAGAGAGCCATCCCATGGGTCACAGCTGGAGAAAATGGGCCTGTGGCATCCTCTTCAAGTTGAAGCTTGGGATGCATTTTCTCGTTGTGCAGCTTCAGGTACATTATGGGCTAAATGGCTTTGTATTTTTTTGTTTGGTTGGTTTTTAATGGGCATTGAACTTTTTTTTTTTTTTTTTTAAGTTCTGGGATACATGTGCAGAACATGCAGGTTTGTTACATAAGTATCCATGTGCCATGGTGGTTTGCTGCACCCATCAACCCGTCATCTACATTAGGTATTTCTCCTAATGCTCTCTCTCCCCTAGTCCCCCACCCCGATAGGCCCCCAGCAGGGGTTTTCCCCTCTGTGTGTCCATGTGTTCTCATTGTTCAACTCCCACTTATGAGTGAGAACATGCAGTGTTTGGTTTTCTGTTCCTGTGTTAGTTTGCTGAGAATGATGGTTTCCAGCTTCATCCATGTCCCTGCAAAGGACATGAACTCATCCTACTTTATGGCTGCATAGTATTCCATGTATATGTACCGCATTTTCTTTATCTAGTCTATCATTGATGGGCATTTGGGTTGGTTCCAAGTCCATGCTATTGTGAACAGTGCCACAATAAATATATGTGTGCGTGTGTCTTTATAGTAGAATGATTTATAATTCTTTGGGTATACACCCAGTAATGGGATGGCTGGGTCAAATGGTATTTCTAGTTCTAGATCCTTGAGGAATCGCCACACTGTCTTCCACAATGGTTGAACTAATTTACACTCCTAGCAACAGTGTAAAAGCATTCCTATTTCTCCACATCCTCTCCAGCATCTGTTGTTCCCTGACTTTTTAATGATCGCTATTCTAACTGGCATGAGATGGTATCTCATTGTGGTTTTGATTTGCATGTCTCTGATGACCAGTGATGATGAGCATTTTTTCATGTTTGTTGACTGCAAAAATGTCTTCTTTTGAGAAGTGTCTGTTCATATCCTTCACCCACTTTTTGATGGTGGTGTTTTTTTCTTGTAAATTTGTTTAAGTTCTTTGTAGACTCTGGATATTAGCCCTGTGTCAGATGGAGCTTTTGCTGTGCAGAAGCTCTTTAGTCATGAAGTCTTTGCCCATGCCTATGTCCTGAATGGTATTGCCTAGGTTTTCTTCTAGGGTTTTTATGGTTAGGTCTTACATTTAAGTCTTTAATCCATCTTGAGTTAATTTTTGTATAAGGTGTAAGGAAGGGATCCAGTTTCAGCTTTCTGCATACGGCTAGCCAGTTTTCCCAACACCATTTATTAAATAGGGAATCCTTTCCCCATTTCTTGTTGTTGTCAGGTTTGTTAAAGATCAGATGGTTGTAGATGTTTGCTGTTATTTCTGAAGCTTCTGTTCTGTTCCATTGGTCTATATGTCTGTTTTGGTACCAGTACCATGCTGTTTTGGTTACTGCTTTGTAGTAGAGTTTGAAGTCAGGTAGCATGTTGCCTCCAGCTTTGTTCTGTTTGCTTAGGATTGTCTTGGCAATGCGGGCTCTTTTTTGGTTCCGTATAGAAACTTAAAGTAGTTTTTTCCAATTCTGTGAAGAAAGTCAGTGGTAGCTTGATGGGGATAGCACTGAATCTATAAATTACTTTGAGTAGTATGGCCATTTTCATGCTATCAATTCTTCCTGTCCATGAGTATGGAATGTTTTTCCATTTGTTTCTATCCTCTCTTATTTCCTTGAGCAGTGGTTTATAGTTCTCCTTGAAGAGGTCCTTCACATTTCTTGTAAATTGTATTCATAGGTATTTTATTCTCTTTGTAGGAATTGTGAATGTGAGTTCACTCATGATTTGGCTCTCTGTCTGTTATTGGTATATAGGAGTGCTAGTGATTTTTGCACATTGATTTTGTATCCTGAGACTTTGCTGAAGTTGCTAATCAGCTTAGGGAGATTCTGGGCTGAGGACGATGGGGTTTTCTAAATATACAATCATGTCATCTGCAAACAGACAACGTGACTTCCTCTTTTCCTAATTGAATACCCTTTATTTCTTTCTCTTGTCTGATTGGCCTGGCCAGAACTTCCAATACTGTGTTGAATAAGAGTGGTGAGAGAAGGCATCCTTGTCTTGTGCCAGTTTTCAAAGGGAATGTTTCCAGTTTTTGCCTATTCAGTATGCTATTGGCTGTGGGTTTGTCATAAATAGCTCCTGTTATTTTGAGATGCATTCCATCAATACCTAGTTTATTCAGAGTTTTTAGCATGAAGGGGTGTTGAATTTTGTCGTATGCCTTTTCTGCATCAATTAAGACAATCGTGGTTTTTGTCATTGGTTCTGTTTATGTGATTATGTTTATCGATTTGCATATATTGAACCAGCTCTGTATCCAGGGATGAAGCTGACTTGATCATGGTGGATACGCTTTTTGATGTGCTGCTGGATTCAGTTTGCCAGTATTTTATTGAGGATTTTTGCATCGATGTTCATCAGGGATATTGGCCTAAAATGTTCTTTTTCTGTTGTGTCTGTGTCAGGTTTTGGCATCAGGATGATAATGGCCTCATAAAATGAGTTAGGGAGGATTCCCTTTTTCTGTTGTTTGGAATAGTTTCAGAAGGAATGGTACCAGCTCCTCTTTGTACCTCTGGTAGAATTTGGCTGTGAATACGTCTGGTCCTGGAATTTTTTTGTTTGGTAGGCTATTACTCCCTCAATTTAAGAACTTTTTATTGGTCTATTCAGGGATTTGACTTCTTCCTGGTTTAGTCTCAGGAGGTTTAGTATGTGTCCAGGAATTTAAACATTTCTTCTAGATTTTCTAGTTTATTTGTGTAGAGGTGTTTATAGTATTCTCTGACAGTAGTTTGTATTTCTGTGCGATCGGTGGTGATATCCCCTATATCATTTTTTATTGTGTCTATTTGATCCTTCTCTCTTTTCTTTCTCACTAGTCTGGCTAGTGGTCTATCAATTTGGTTGATCTTTTCAAAAAACCAGATCCTGGATTCACGGATTTTTTTGAAGGGTTTTTTGTGTCTCTGTCTCCTTCTGTTTTGCTGTGATCTTAGTTATTTCTTGTCTTCTGCTAGCTTTTGAATATATTTGCTGTTGCTTCTCTAGTTCTTTTAATTGTGATGTTATAGTGTCAATTTTTGATCATTCCTGCTTTCACTTGTGGGCATTTAGTGTTATACATTTCCATCTACACACTGCTTTAAATGTGTCCCAGAGATTTGGGTGCTTTGTGTCTTTGTTCACATTGGTTTCAAAGAACATCTTTATTTCTACCTTCATTTTGTTAGTTACCCAGTAGTTATTCAGGAGCAGGTTGTTCAGTTTCCATATAGTTGAGCAGTTTTGAGTGAGTTCTTAATCCTGAGTTCTAATCTGATTGCACTGTAGTCTGAGAGACCGTTAATGATTTCCGTTCTTTTGCATTTGCTGAGGAGTGTTTTACTTCGAATTATGTGGTGAATTTTAGAATAAGTGTGATGTGGTGCTGAGAAGAATGTATATTCTGTTGATTTGGGGTGGAAAGTTCTGTAGATGACTGGTAGGTCTGCTTGGTCCAGAGCCGAGTTCAAGTCCGGGATGTCCTTGTTAATTTTCTGTCTCATTGATCTGTCCAGTGTTGACAGTGGGGTGCTGAAGTCTCCCACTATTATTGTGTGGGAGTCTAAGTCTCTTTGTAGGTCTCTGAGAACTTGCTTTATGAATCTGGGTGCTCCTGTATTGGGTGCATATATATTTAGGATGGTTAGTTCTTCTTGTTGAATTGATCCCTTTACCATTATGTAATGCCCATCTTTGTCTCTTTTGATCTTTGTTGGTTTGAAGTCTGTTTTATCAGAGACTAGGATTGCAACCCCTGCTTTTTTTTTTTTTTTTGCTTTCCATTTGCTTCGTAAGTATTTCTCCATCCCTTTATTTTGAGCCTATGTGTGTCTTTGCATGTGAGATGGGTCTCTTGAATACAGCATACTGATGGGTCTTAACTCTTTATCCACTTTGCCAGTCTGTGTCTTTTAATTGGGGCATTTAGCCCGTTTACATTTAAGATTAATATTGTTAAGTGTGAACTTGATTCTGTCATTATGATGCTATTTTGTCCATTAGTTGATGAAGTTTCTTCATAGCATTGATGGTCTTTACAATTTGATGTTTTTGCAGTGACTGGTACCAGTTGTTCCTTTTCATGTTTAGTGCTTCCTTCAGTAGCTCCTGTAAGGCAGGCCTGGTGATGACACAATCTCTCAGTATTTGCTTGTCTGTAAAGGATTTTATTTCTCCTTTGCTTATGAAGCTTAGTTTGGCTGGATATGAAATTCTGGGTTGAAAATTCTTTTCTTTAAGAATGTTGAATATTGGCCCCCACTCTCTTCTGGCTTGTAGGGTTTCTGCCAAGAGACCCGCTGTTAGTCTGGTGGGCTTCCCTTTGTGGGTAACGCAACCTTTCTGTCTGGCTGCCCTTAACGTTTTTTCCTTCATTTCAACCTTGGTGAATCTGATGATTATGTGTCTTGGGGTTGCTCTTCTTGAGGAATATCTTGGTGATGTTCTCTATATTTCCTGAATTTGAATGTTGTCCTGCCTTGCTAGGTTGGGAAGTTCTTCTGGATAATATCCTGAAGAGTGTTTTCCAACTTGGTTCCATTCTCCTTGTCACTTTCAGGTACA